ATCGTGTGCTGCTAATTCAATTCCGACTTAATGGCCACCCTTTCCAGCATTTTCTAGGTATGGGGCACTCAGAAGGGGTTTACCATTCCCTCCTTCTGGGGATATTATGGGATCACGTCACTTTTTGTAAGACCACATAGGGTGGCTCTTTTCTTACAAGGCACAAACTGACACCCCCCTGCTGAAATCAGAGCGGTTTTCCCTGCGCTTGCAAGAGTTGCTGTGCCTGTGGGTTTCCACCCGGGGGGCGGGGGGAATGCCACAATTTCTCCAGAGACACTTGCTGATTGCTATTGAAAGCTGTCATGCGGAGTCTGCTTGCATGAGCGTTAAAGCATCTATGGGATAGCATTCCTGCCACAGCGGGTCAAATCTCCTTCTCGCGGCTCCCTCCGTTTTATCCAACTGGGCGCATAAAAAAAGAAATCTGCGCTGTTTGATGGGCTGACCATCAGCTGAGCGTGTCATTTCTTGTTTGGCTCTGCTTCTTTACCAATGCAGACCAATCAACCGAGATGTCCATTAGTCTCTATCTTCGGAGGGATCATGCCCCGCAGTGAATCAGGATACTGCTCTTGAGAGCACGGAGCCTTGACATTCCCTGGGTGACTTGAAGCCATTCAAACTTTCTCAAAGTGACCAACATCACAGCGAATGGGTTGGAAGAGAGCCATGCGCACCTCATTGAACTTGCTGGAGAAATACAGGACATAAAGCCTAACGAACAATAATGACCTATGGTTCTAGGCTGTGACACTTCCCTCCATTTACATAGAGATCAGATGCAACTTTTATGCCTTTACCTCCTAATCTAGGGCGGTGGTTCCCAACCTTGGGTCCCCAGATGTTCTTGGACTACAACTCCCAGAAAGCCTGACCAGCACAGCTAGTGGCGAAGGCTTCTGGGAATGGCAGGCCAAGATCTCCTGACTTACCCAGATGTGGTTTGGGTGCTGCTTCGGAGACCACGTGGCCGCATCTTAAGCTGTCTGCATCACTTGCATTTATCTTTTAATATCAGATGAAGTTTTTCCTTAAAGAACCCAGCCTGCGTCCCTCCCATCAGCCTCGGAGACCCACAAAAGCTGCCGTTTTGCCCAAGAGACGAGAACAGCGGTCGATCACACCTTACAACCGATCCAAGCATCTGCTCCCAGTATTTCCAGGCCAGGACCTACAGAACGGTCTAAAAACGTTGCCGACAGGTGCCGAACGCGGGAATCGGAGAAATGCCACCACTCGAAGTGGCACGCGAAGGATTCGAGCGCCCGCAGGCAGCGTCTTCGGCCGGGAGAACCTCCAAGAAAAGAGAAAGGGGGGAGATTCCCACTGGCACAGCATGGACTCTGCTCCTTCATTCTCCCTTAGGCAGAAGGGAGGCTCACGGCTGTTTTTTTGCTAGATGGGAAGTGGCAACCGGATGATGAACGGTCTGTTCCGTAGGCTAGGCTTCCCCTCGGAACAGCCATCAGCTCCCGAGCAGGATGGCAGAGGGAAGCCAGAGAGGGGAGAGGCGGACGCCATAACATGTTCAAGGGAGTTCAGTGTGCCCTAGTTATTCCTTAACGGCACTTTCTTTTGTAATCTTGTAAACCCTTTCATGGCTAACTCCCAGGCAAACATTGACAAAGCAACACTCTTACCCAGTTTGCTATAATCTAGGGGATGGAAACCCTGCAGGATCCACCTTTCCTGACAGTGAAAACGATTACACTTCATAGTTCTTTACCGGGACTAGGATCGACAGGCAGAGCATCTGACAGCAGTACCCCGTTAAGGATTACGTAGAGAACCTCGCTTGGTGGCAACAACAACAGACGAATAAATGCAAGAGGAAACTGGACAACCCTCTCTCAGATCTTCCTGGATATCTGCCTTGAGCAGGGGGTCGGACTGGATGGCCGTAGAGGGCCCCTTCCAACACCATGATTCTATGAAATGAAATATAAGAGTGTGATCTAGGGAAATACAGGAAGTCGGTGAGGTGCAAACGGGGAAGCTTAGAATCAACAGAGCAAATATAAAGTAGCCACCAGACCAACGGCCATTGCCGGATACAACAAGCATCCATTCATTCCCGCTGTGTTTTTCGTCTGGAACAGGTTTACTGCCCACGCATGTTCAAACTTTCCTGCTGGAGTTACAAGGACTAGAGGCTAAACATTTCTGGATTCAAGCAACGACACACGTCGGATCCCGATATATACAACCTGGTGCGGAGTATGAGAAAAGCCTGATTTGAAGTGACCTGATGTTAGCATCCAGACATCGTACTAATTAGAGAGGGAAAAGCCAGGGGGGGAAGTCAGGTTGCTATTCAACTGGTTTAAGGTCTTATATTAATTTTTGCACCAAAAAAACGCATTAGGGCTCATTTTCAGGGGATGTTTTATTTTTTGCATGTACAACCATCTACATTTATTCAAATACAGTCCTGTCATATTCTTCCGCAACCATCTACATTTATTCAAATACAGTCCTTTCCTCCTCTTCTGGTTGCTGCACAAGGATGGAGGGCCTGAAAAAATCCTACTAGGGCTTATTTTCAGGTTAGGTCTTATTTTCGGAGAAACCGGGTAGATTTGAACCACAGCACAATGCCGGGGTCGGCAGGCTTCAAGGCCGACGTCTTCAGCATATTAAAACTTTCCACGGTCTTGCCTGCACCTCTGCTTGAGACCTTTTTATGAATTACTCTCTGGCCCGTCTCCAGGGCTGCCTGACTCATCCAGCTGTCTGAGGCAAGGGACAGGATGCCAACACCCGCAATTCCATGTAAAAAAATAATCTCCAGGGCTGACGCATGCATTTACAACATCCTCCAACCCACTGGAAGCCAGCAAGCTAGCCTTGGAGGTGCAGAGCATGCTTGTGGTGGGTGGGGGTCATTCCAATAAATAGCTGACACTGCCTACATCATCTATCGCCCGAGGCCACTTCCTCAGTCTACCCAATGACAAGAGCGGTGCTTTTTCCATAAACTTTCCAAGAATCATGGATTTGGAAGGGGGCCTCTGAGGCCATCCAGTCCAACCCCCTGCTCAGGGCAGGAATCCAAGCCAATGGGTCCTGCACTCTGAGATGATGGAGGACAGATCCTGCTCCTCCCTCAGTCTTCTTTTCTCAAGACTAAACATGCCCAGTTCTTTCTGTCTTTTGGAGCAGCCAGCTGCAGGACCTCTGTGGCCAAGTCCCTCTGACCCCTTGTTCTTCTCTCCTTCACAAGGGAAACAAAAAAGGGCTACATGCCAATCAAACTATACTGATCCTTCCTAATGGGGGAAGTCATTCATTCATTCATCCGCAAGGACGGACGGAAATATTTAATACTAAAGATTGAGGCTCACCTGCATCATTCCGGTTTCCTCAGAAACAGGGCATTCTAGAACGCTGGCACACCACGTATTCCAAAACCCAGCAAATGTGACATTGAACAACACCCCCGTATAGGCAGACACGGCCAAAGAGCCCGAAAAACCCACAACAACCATTAAGCCATTAAACCATTCACCCTTGAGCTGAGGGTAGAGAGAAGTCAAGCCCGTAGTGCCTAAGACCCCAAAGACTGCATCAAATATGATAAATATGGAAAAAGAGGAAAAAATAAAATCAAATAAAGCAGCCAGATGTCTCATTTTTTTCAAGTTTGTTGGGTGGGGGGATTAAAGAAGCAAAGCCTGCTGCCAGGGACCGACCCCACATCTTATTTTAATGCAAAACTGCAACCTCTGGAGGCTACCAGGAAGAGAAAACTCATTTACATGCCTCAAATTGTCAGCAGGAGAGATATTAAGGAGCCCCAGGTAAGAAGAAACCCAACCCTGTTTCCTTTGTGCAAATAAACCTGTATTTCCTATTGGGTGTTAACAGCATTTGCTAATTAATGGGGGAGTCCGGGAAGAAGAGGCTTCTATGCCAGTAGAATGATTCAGTGAATTCATACAAATCTCCAACACAGTATGTCATCACGAAATCAAAGGAGCAACGTTTTGTTTTCAAGATGCAACTCCTGTTTCCTAGGAAATGAAATGGCAATATCTGACTAATCTGGTCATTTATTTGGCTTGCCTCTTCCTCTCTCATGCCTCTTTACAGTGCCTGAAACAAGAATCCCACATTAAAAAAAATAAACGTAGCAAATTATTGCCAAGGTATTCATTGGGAGAAGTTCGTGAAAGAATCCACGGCCGGTTAATTAAAGCCAGGGTTTAATTGAACAACGGCTCTATTACTGTTAACAGACAAAGCTCGGTCATCCCTCAAGAGAGTTCGGGAGTGCCTGGGGAAGGTAGAGGCAGAAAAAAGAAGACCGTGCAAGGTAAATACAAGTTTGAAGGACAGAAATACGAGAAGATCTTTGAAGATAACTTCTATCTGTTCTGAGTCTTCTGGAAGGGACACAGAGGAGCCACCAAAGCACCACAAAGGAAGATCACCAGCCTAATAATACTGCTGGCCATAATAGCTAGCAGAAACAGCTGTAAGGCATCTTTGGATCAGAATTAAATTGGAGAGGGGGAAAAAGCACTTTTCAAACATCCGAACGGCAGTCTTGCAGAGGGGCAGGATCTGGCCTCGATCTCCCCAGAGTGCAGGACGCATACCAACGGGCTCAACATAGAGGAAGCCAGGTTTCAGTTGAATATTAGGGAAAAGCTCTTAACTGTTAGAGCAGTACAACAACAGAACCCATGATTTCGGGAAGCGGTGAAGACTCCAACGCTGGGGAGGCCTTCAAAAGAAAGTTGGGCCACTGTTTGTCTGATCTGCTTCGAACAGGGGGTCGAGAAAAGAAGCAGAGGGGAGCGAGGAGAGCACTCTTCGAAGACTTGAAAGATCGTTCTATGGGGGGGGGGCAGGATCTGCTCTCGATCATCCCCCAGTACAGGACAAGAAACAATGGGCTCCGGTGACAGGAAGCCAGATTTAAGCTCATCCATTTTCTCCCTTCCCTCTACTTGTGTCATTTCAAAGCAAAGAAACCACGAGGATCGCCTTACCACGTACGTCATCCCCAGCGCAGTCTCTTCGGAACAAGACATGGGCCTTGGTGCCCCCAAACTGGGTTCTGCTATCTGCACGCCAGCCTCCTGCGCTGAAGCGTAAGGTTGCCAAAGAGAGACGGTGCCCGAGCAGGAGCTGGAGAGGAGCCTTCCCCAAACGCCATGAGAGCAAGCTTCCTGAAAGCAAACACAGCCGATTTATTGATACAGGTCGGATTCAGCTCTCTGCCGTTTTTTAAAAAAACCTGAGAGGCTTGGCAAAGGAACATGAAGCCAGCACCCCCCGCCCTTCCCCTAGATTTAGTGTGGCGAACCAGATTTTATCTGATACTTGTTCCAGCGTTTTGCATGTGCAAAAAATCCCTCTGAGCGACTCCTAGCTATAGGAAGGCTTGTACAATCGTTAGAAGTGAAGATTCAAGAAGTCCAGTAACCCTTTTTCCTCTGCCGGCTGCTACGAAATCCTTCCGAAACCCTCTCCAAAATAGTGCGGTGGGAAACCTTAGGCCCTGGGGGCAAATCCGGCCCTCCCGAATTCTCCACGAGGCCACACCCCTTTCCCAAGGATGCCACCCCCAAAAAGGACGCTAAAGGCTTCTCCTAAGGCGTAGCTAGCTGCAATTACCAGTTTTACATTAAAATACGCTGGCATTTGGGTGCCTTTGGCGTCACCCACCACTGGAATGTAAATTAATCAGAAACTGAAGTTCGCTTTCTTGGCTGAAGCCATCATCATCTCCTTCTGCTGCCCGCACACTCACCCTGAACCCGCCGGTTACATCCAAGAGAGGGTGAGTTTGGTCAAGTCTATGAATTGCATTTCTATCTTGCTGAAAACTGGTACAGTTTAAGACGGTTAACTGTCTCACTCACAACCCTGTGTAAGCCTACATTTTAATCCCTGTTTTTTTTTCCAGCCAAGAGCCTTCTTTTCTATTTCCAGCGTACAAAAGTGGCTGAATATCAGCCCTTGCCCACCAGCAGCCCAAAAAGATGCACAGATCAGTTCAAAATAAAAAAAAAGCTGTATCAGAAACAACTACACACACAGAGAGAGCCATCCATCGGTTCTTTTCGAGACGGTCAATACCAAAGCAAAACCCCAGGACTCTGGTTTCGAGAAATACAGACACACGTCTTTTCCCCCCAAAACCTGCCTTAGGAATATTTTGGACCGTTTCTGGGAATCAAAGCACCGGGCAGCGATCCCGTTTCTTCCGCCACACGCCGAGAACCCGGAGCGACCCCTTTTTCCTCCTCTGCTAGGGGCAGCATAAAATCCAATCCCAATTAGTCCGGGTGTCTTTTCCCTCCAAGGTCTACCAACGTTGATAAAATGTTTTCCTCTCTTGACCTCTGCCGATCCCCACCCAAACCCTCTTCCACCATTGTTCTACCTCTTACCTGGGATCGGAAAAATCCCAATTAGTCCGTGTGTCTTTTCCCTCCAAGGTCTACCAACGTTGATAAAATGTTTTCCTCTCTTGACCTCTGCCGATCCCCACCCAAACCCTCTTCCACCATTGTCTTCCTCTACCTCTTTCCTGTTCCACCCCCTTTAATGCAGCTGACGCTCCAGCATTTCCTAATTTTTCTTGCCTCCGGTCCTAGCGACCTTTCTTACAGAAATCAAGCTCTCTTCTCTACCCCAAGAAAGACATCCACCGCCATCCTGACTTCTCTGCCGCTGACAACAAAGTTTTGGGGACAAACAATGATCAGCACTGTTCCCTATAGAGCGCTGCTTGGAAATCAACATGCAAACAAACCTGGGGAGCTAGTGTTTGCAATCGCAATGCAAATCTGGCATCCCACTGAGAATAAATCCTTAAAAAATAATCCTAAAATCTTAGGACTGCTAGAGATGGAAGGGACCCTATGAGATCATCCAGTCCAGCCCCTGCCCAGGAAGCCCTATGGGGGGGAATCGAACCCCCAACCTCCGCAGCCAGAAAACCACTGAGCTCTCCCCCAGTTCAAATTATTTCCTTGCAAACCTAATTTGGCTTCCAGACGACTTCCAGAAGTCTCCGCACGGCCACATCCAGCTCTCTTAGTGTCAAAGGCCTTTCCCATCCCTAAGTCACCATTTATTCCCTTTATTTTTTGCTTTTTTTGAGCCCTTTACTCTCTTTAACAAGGGCTAGAAAGCTGGTGACATCACACACGCAACACACCCCATCTCCAGGCATCCCTTGACTTGCTGAGGGCTTGACACACCCAACGTTTCCTGCCACCAGAGAGCATCCGCCTTCTCCGCCTTTCAAAACCTTAATACTGTATCCCAACTTAACTTATGAATAGTGATGCTCCAGACGCACTGATACCAGTTATTGAATTGAAAGGCACATTTTAATCAGCAAAGCACTTCCTGAGCACATTTTTTGGAAATCTCCTCCCTCCCAATCCTCTCTCCATCATCATCATCACCATCATCCCTCAGTTATGCCCACTCGGCCCTTTTGCTTCCCCAGCCACCACCACCACCCCCAGCCATCAAAGCAACCCAAGAGCAGACACTCAGTCTTCTGTCTGGATCACCAAGTCCTCTCCTTCACCATCCTCCTCCCGCAAATCCAAGGATGATGGCCATTTCATACCCACCCTGTGTGTATGTACTGTATAATATAGGGTAGCTGTGTGTATGCATACATACACACACAGAGGGAGAAAATTAGTAGGATGTGTGTCTCTGGAGTTTGAGGCAAGGTATATAGGTATAGTATAGGTATTGTGTGTGTGTGTGTGTGTGTGTGTGTGTGTGTAAATTACACACCTAATAAGAGTGAGATATGTATGATAGGTATTAGGGTGTGTGTGTGTGTGTGTGTGTGTGTGTGTGTGTGTAAATTACACACCTAATAAGAGTGAGATATGTATGATAGGTATTAGGGGTAGGTGTGTGTGTGTGTGTGTAAATTACACACCTAATAAGAGTGAGATATGTATGAGAGGTATTAGGGTGTGTGTGTGTGTATAATATACACACCTAATGAGAGAGATATGTGTGAGATAGATTTGAGGGTGTGTGTGTGTGTATAATATACACACCTAATGAGAGAGATATGTGTGAGATAGATTTGAGGGTGTGTGTGTGTGTATACCTACACACACACACGTATATATAGGTATTAGATGTGCACATACACGCACACACACCCGTCTAGTACCTATATACCTGTATACACCGTGTATGTGTGCAATATACAATACATACACACACACACACCGGAGCCCCCCCCCTTTTCCAG